GTCTGTCCCTCTTAGGTGCATGGGGTCTGAAATACATTGTCTGTGTGACATAATATTAATCCATGTATAGTTAATTTGTGTAGAGTTCATAGCCTTTCCATTTTCATACTGAATTTGCATGTTACCACATTTCATGTAATATCTTGTGTTGACTATGTAAGTAATCTTATTATCTAGGAATCAACTGAAGATGGCATTTTCAGCAACATTGGAGCAATTTGTTAGTAGTATCATCCTGTGTGTTTTCTTGATTCTTTATGTATTTATCCTTTAGCCACTATGTGACATCATGTTAAAGGAATAGTGTGACTGAACCATCCACTAGCTCTTACGCTTGAGAGATTAAGTTGTTTTGCAACATCTCATTCCAAATTTCCTCCAGTGTAATGGTTCCTTGTATGGAATGTAATGTCTTGAGTTCTCAAGGCCTAGATTAGGTTGCAGCTTAAGAAACTCAAGAAACTTAAATAATGCTGTTTTTAGAAATTCATTAAAACAGTACATCAATATTCTTCTGTCACATAATGTTATGATATTGTTTTATATTATGCAAAACAGTTTGGTGTTTCTTTGTTTGTGTTACTGAGGGTGTTAGCTTAACATGTTAATTAATTTGACTTTCATTTAGGAGGTAAAAATAAAGTAAAGGTATCCCTGTAACAGGCCATGGAGGCCCACAGATTTGTGAGAGGTTGAGGTTCCCACATTTTCTAGAATCAGCTCATAGATGGCAGTAAGGTTGTCAGTCTTATATGCTGGCTGCCCTTTACCCCCAAGAATATTCCTGGTACTCATTTGTGGTAGAGGTTGAGTCGACCCCACGGCCATAGTGCGGCTGGAAGGATTAGATAAATTGAAAAAATCCATCTCATCAGGATTTGTTCCCGCAATCTACTGGCCTGTAGCATAGTGCCTCAACCAACTACGCTACCGCGTGCCCCTTCATTTTTTTTATTGCTAGTGGGGTGGGACTAAGTCCCTTGTATTGAGGCCACTTCTGGCCTATTGTACCAGCCCCAGAGGGGGGATTGTGGAGTAATTGGTGGAATGAAGATTGGCAGGGGAAACCGAAGTACTCGGAGAAAACCTGCTCCAAGGCCACTTTGTCCACCACAAATCCCACTTGACCAGACCCGGGATCAGACCCAGGCCACCATGGTGGGAAGCCAACGACGCCGCTTGAGCTATGGCGCGAATAAGTGAATAACTAGCCAATTAATGCTGGTTCAAGAACACACATGTTGATGAATAGTATATTACCAGATAACCAGCAGTGACACATACACATCTGTTTCTTCAGCAATATCTTGCTTTATTGCAGTGTGTACTCACTTCTGTCACTACTAGTTGAAATTGCAGAGGTGCGTTGGCAGCATATCACATAATAGCCTTTTTAAAAATATCTGCCATTAAATAAAATTAGTGAGAATTTTATGACGTATTTGCTATATCATTGCAGTGTAATCCTAAGGAAGTGTTTTTGGGGGAGTGGGGGTAAACATGATTGTGGCTACAAATCATTTAAGTCATCAGGAGAGAGTCAAATGCTTATCACGTCAGGTTGGGTCAGCTAAGATTCAGATGGCTAGTGCAACTAAAGGGTAAAACTTTTGGCCGAAATGCATTGCAAATAATACCCACATTACAGCAGATGTTAGAAATGCCCTCTGTTGTTCCTCACACACCCCTGACCCTCTGTACGTTTACATTCACATATTGCGGTTTTTTGGGAAGTGGAAGAAACTGCCCTTTGAATATTTTCCTTCAGTTTTGCAGCTTCTTAAGGGTTTTATATGCAAGATGTTTTAGAATTTTCCTTAAATAAAAGTCAGATTTCTTGAAGTCTGGGGAGCATGCTGGCCACAAACCACTATTAATACTTGGCCCCAATTTCTTCTCTAAGTGCATCCTTAAATAGTCTTGTTGTATGTGTTGGCTTGGAGTCTTGATGGAATAATACATACTGGAAATTTTTTGTGTCTAGGTGTATCCACTGACAGTTCTGTTTTAATTTATTTACATTTCTGTGAACAGTTCTCTGTGTGGAACCATAACAGAATTTTCACCTCAGTCTTATTCTTCCTCTTCCTGCAGAATAACTGTTCATGTGTACATGAAAGTTTGTTATTCTGATGTGTATCTCACATGTAGCATTTCAGGACAGAATAACACTGCCTATCTTACAGATCAAGTACAATAGCAGGAGTTACAGCAATGTGGGGTCCGAGAAATAACAAGCATGCTTTATGGCCATTCTATCTGGAAAATTTTCTGTATTTCTGGACATGCTGCAAAATTAAGGGGCTTATGCCATGCATGATAGGACAGAGTTTTATATTTTAATTCTTTTAAAGGAACGTTTGAAAGACTATCTGTTTATTGAGCTTGAATACTATGAATGCTTTCAGAGTTTTTCTTGTTTTTGTGGCCTGTAACTTTGGCTTTTGGTGGTTAGTCATGTATATAGAAACTGTCCCAACATTTTGGTGTTCACTGCAGGCACTTATCATCAGAGGGTATAAGGCAGAAAGACAAAGTGGCCTGATATCTAGGTATCATAGTGGGAGTAAGGGAGGGGCTATGGTGTATGGTGTTATCCAGTGGGAAGGGACTGTGTTGTTAAGAAGAGAGGCTCGAGGAATAGAGGTGAAAAGTCAGACCTTACTCAGTTCATATCCATCTTCACAGATGAAGTTATTGGAGTATTTGATTATTTCAGTGGCTTCCCTGATGATGTGGAAATGGTAAGTTTGGATATTTACTAGGGCTTCAGTACTAATGATTTTGATGTTAAATTTGGTCTGAGTATATGTTCAGCTATGTGTGATCATTTATTCTCTAGCCCGGTTCTTTGATATGTTCTAATATTGTAATGGAGATACTATGGTCATTCTGGGAGTTGGCTCTGCTCCCATCTGTAGGCTATTATATTGACATATTTTAGTGATTTCAAGGTTGGAGCTAGGGTTGAAGTGGCTGTACAGGTTATCTGATGGTAGTGTTCAAGATTAGTATTCAAATTTAATTTCAGCTGCTGCCATTTATATACACATGTACACACATTAAATAACTTCTCTTCACCAGTAGACAGAAGTAGACCATACTTTGAGAATATCATGAACATTACTTCCCTTCAGAAGTAGACCATACTCTGAGAATATTATGAACATTACTTCTCTTCACCAGTAGACAGAAGTAGACCATACTCCGAGAATATAATGAACATTAAATATTTACTCAGATGGTGAGTGAAATGTTGCTGGTCCCACTGTCTCGTGTGCAGCACTTCTTTCTATAAAACCTACTAAAAGCTGTTCACTTTAAAAGTTTTACACATCACATAACTTCACTATATGTTCCGACCAATATGGTCATCATCAGGCGTTTAAAATTTTGGATGAGGAAATTGCTGTTTCTCTTATCGTGGCTTTGGTTATTGATGTGTGGTCCCCTCTGTGTGCATGTGTATTTAGAGTGCATTCATAAAAAAAAGACGCAGCATAACACAACAGGACGAACAACCCGTCACTTTGAATAATTCATATAAAAGTCGCACAGTATAACAACCCATCACTTTGAATACACATGCACATAGAGATGGCCATATTGTCATGTGTATGGGGGTACGCGTGACGAAAATAACGGCTTCTAGTTCAGATGATTGGCTTTACTGGCACTTCGGTTACAATCTCAGTTACAGTTAATACAGCACTGTCACTGATTTACACAATTTACAGTTCACTGTTGCACATACACTAGGATTCTCCATCTTCACTAGTCATGTCCTGGCAGTGGATCTCAACATAGAAACTAGCACTTCAAATCACTATTGAGTCTTCTTGTTACTTTGTCTTCAATCACTTAGTACTCCTCTGTCCTAATCTGTACTCAACTATTTTTCACAGTTCACCACAAAGGATGTGCTCCTTTCTCGTCCTTATACTCTCAACTGCACTGCACACTAATCTAAGCTATGACAGGTCCTTGTTATATTGGCCTGCATTGACCACACAGAAACACAAGTCACATGATTGCTATCTTGCCAGTCCATTGGCGTGCTGACTGCTGCAAGTTTTATAGAAAGACGTGTTGCATGTGAGACGGTGGAACCAGCATCATTTGATCCTAAGTGATGTGCAGCAGGATGCTAGAATATTATGTTATAAGACAGTGAAATGTCCACAGTTTTGGTCTACCATTTAGTTTCTTTTTAATTATGTTCAGTCTTGTTTTAAGGAAATGGTAAAGCTTATAGCAAATTTTCTACAGTTTCACATGATAGCATATATGGCGAAATGTCATAACTAAATTACTTGAAGTGGAATTTTTATGCACTTGGCAGTGACATAATAATTGCAACATATGGTAATTTCATTTACCAGCGAGATCAAATGTCAGGTTCTTAAATGTTTTGCTCAGAAAAATGCAAATTTTACATATAGTACGTGTAACGTGGCATACATATTCACCTGTTAGCTACAATTTATAATTTATCTCATATCAGAGAATAATCTTGAATGTTTGAAATTGAGTTCTGGTGATGTCAATAGTTGGAAGAGGTAGTTTCTCCTGTTCACCTTATTTTTCCTTTCATAAAAAAGGTAAAGTCCCTATGCCTAGTCAATTAAGCACTATGCCATGAAGACGTATGGGTGATTGGACGTATAGATCCACATATTCTTGACCTTGGCACTAGTTGGAGGTGAATGGCCAGCTTCACTTCTCAGCTGCTTTACTTCTGGGGAAAAAGCCCCTGATATCCATTGGATAGGAGGCTAGGTGGGCCTTGTCCCTTTGAGGACTTGAACTCCAACCTGTCAGTCATCCAGCCCTAGCCAGTCAACATACCAACTGCATTATCATGGCTCCATCATATGGTGTATAGGTGTATATTGCTAGTGTGAATCTGTGACTCGCTAGATATTTGTGCTTGACTTGATGAAAGTAATGTTGTAGCATTCTTTGATGCAGGTAAAGTCAGTGTGGTTTATTTGTTACAGCATCAGTCATCAAACTGGGATGAACGAATATTATCTTCAAATGAAGCCAGTGTCTCACCACCTGGTAGTGTAGCACTGAAACACAGTCAGAGTGCAGAGGACTTGCCTTCAAGTGTTGCAAGCCCTGGTAACATGAGCAACAGTGGAACTGGTGGCCCTGCTGAACCAAGAAAATTGGCGTTACGTACACAGTTAGCCCATCAGCTCTCTGCTAATTCCAGTAAAGTTCTGAAGAGACCCAGTTATGTTGTACGACCTGCACCTGGTTTAGCCAGAGCAGTAATGGGTGGGACTACAACTGGATGTACAAATCTTGCTTTAGAGAAAGCTTGCATTTTGCCTGTGTTTCGATATCTTAGTCCTGCTGAACTTGCCATCTGTGCTGGAGTTTGCAGGACATGGTCAAGATTTTCTGTTGACCCAAGTTTGTGGCGCCGTATGGAGCTGTCACATAGACATATCCTGACTGCACAGCATTTGGCTGGAATAACCAGGCGCCAACCAGAACAGTTAGTTTTAGATTGGAGTGGTGTAGCAAAACGGCAGTTAGCTTGGTTAGTGACCAGGCTTCCACAACTCAGAGAACTTTCACTCCAAGGGTGTAGCTGGGCAGGGGTTAGTGCATTACGTACCTGCGCTTGCCCGCCTTTAGCTTCTTTGGACTTGAGTTTTGTATCTGGACTCAATGACGCTTCCCTGAGGGACATTCTGAGTCCACCACCAGATTCTAGGCCAGGTCTTGTGGATACTAAATCACGACTTAGAAACCTACGCACCTTGCGATTGGCAGGCTGTGACTTAACTGATGTTGCCCTGCGTTATGTGACACAACATCTTCCTCGTTTGGCTGAATTGGACATATCAGGGTGTCAGAGGGTCTCTGATGCTGGGGTGGCTCAATTAGCAACACCTCCTGCAGCAACCATAAACTTACTTCATAGTCTGAATCTTTCTAATTGTCGACTTCTCACAGATGCAAGTTTAGAACACCTTGCAAGGTGCGATGCCTTGGTAAGGGTTGATCTGCGACACACTCCATATGTCACGGCTGCAGCCATTGCAAAATTTGCAGTTAGAAGTCGACATGGATTGAAGGTAATGGATGGTAAGCTCATAGCCAAGAGGCCAGCCCCTGCTTGAGACTGATGATTTATAAATGTAGGTGCAACATCTAATTACAGCACATGTGAAACATCAGTAGGGTGTTTTGTTTTCGTAGCTACACAATTCTATGTAAGCAGCATCTTTGATTCACATGTAAGTGATGGAGTCCCACGCCACTGTAGAAAAATGACCAGCTCTTCATCCCTTCTAAATTGTATTCATTATATGATGCAGTACTTAACTGCAGTGTTAGCATACATCATACACAATCTAACACATTTGAAGGTTTCATAAGTACCTTACAAAATGATTAAATTACCAAGTGCGATGAATGATAAAGAACATTAGGAGCTGTGTTATTCATTTGTTAGATTGGTTCATTAATGAAATGTTTAAGAAGATTAGTTATTATGTAAGTATTAATCGATAACTGTCACTTGACCTGAGGAACAGTGATGTAGGTATGTTGGTATAGGCTTTAAAAAGTTTAAATACTGCAGAAGTTATGTGTAAACCTGACATTGACAACTGCAGATTTACAGATACGAAGTATTGTTTCATTGTCAACATTATCAGCAAGTCCTTACCAGGGATCAATGAGACAACCACTAAATGAAGACTTGGACCTTTTATTATAGTGAAGATATGTGTGTTATGTGAACATGAAACAGTGTGATTTTAACAGTTTATATTGTGGCCTTGTAGCAGTATGTGTACGTGTGTATATACATACATACATACATAGGTCCATATGATGGCTTGATGGTTACAGCAGAGTGTTAAAATAATGTAATATGATAGACAGAGTAGTTTCTGTCCTGTGGTAATTCGGGTATGTTCAGTGACAGAATTAATCCAAGCAACAGAATCATGGAGGGGTTTTCTGAAGAAGCCTTATGAATGTAGAGGTTGATGTTTCTCCACTTGGGACCCATTTAGATGGTTCTTATCATGCATGAGAACAGAATAATTGTAAGATTTGAGGTTTTCACAGCGGTGACTATGAACAAAGCAGTCTTCTGGGATGTTGCACCATGTAGATGTGTTAACCGACGTTTCGGAGGAACGTATCCGCAAGCAAAGAGACAGTGAGAACCAGTGCAAGCAGACTGGACTGATGTTGGAAATAAACTCAGCTATGTGAGAGCAGGGAAGGGAGGGGAAATCAGTGTAGAGGGAGAGGGGATGGGTCTGGGACAGAAGCAGGGTTTTGTATAGGCTATTGTGTCAGGGGGGGGAGAAAGGCAAGGTTAATGGGAGGGCATTAACCCTTAAGCTGGGGGGTTGTTATGTGAGTCGGTCATGGCTTTTC